AATTGCGTAATAATACTCTGCAATTACACATACTTGTTGTCGTAGTCTCGTAACGTTGTCACGTCGCACTGGACAATCTCCAGATCACATTCCATTTCATCAATATTCCTCTGGATTGTGTTAAAAACGAATCGACAATTGAGGTTACGGATTAGAACAGGGTAGTTAACAATTTTGGCGAACAATACACAACTGATGAGCACCCTTTGTACCATCTCCCAGTCAGACGCCAATGATGAGATGTCATTGCGCTCGCTAAAGCACCGTAAAGCTAGCACCGGCTACTGATACGACAGGCTACCTCACAATCTCAATATAACAAGGTCTGTCCTGCGATGTGCACTTCGTGTATCTATGACCGAAGGTTGAATCCATGGATACCTGAGCAATCTCTATCACGTCTTCGTCGAGCTCGAACCCACACACATAGTCAGCGCCCAGCATCTCAGCTGCAATACTGAGCACACCAGGGCCACATCCTAAATCTGCTACTCGTTTCTCGGCAATGTCCCTGGATGAGAGAAGATACGTTGGAAATACTTCGTTCAGATTCAGATATCCGTTTTTGAGTCCTTGTTCGTGTCAGGTTCACGCGTAGAAAATAGAGCAACCCACACATCCTACATCAGATACTGTGCAGTGAATTTATTTTAAGTCTCCACTGGAACGCTCACATGCATATACCCCAAAGTCAGGATCATCCGTACAGCTACAAGATGTATGCTTCACATAGCAGTCTGCGATGATAATCAATGAGAAGAAATAATAAATAGTTCTAAATATCAGAAAGGCATCACCAATACACTCCACTGCATTCAAGGAAAATAGATGCATGTCTACATCAACTTGTTTGCATTTGGAGATTCGATCGATATGTGTGATCACCAAATGCATAGTTTTAACATACAAACCACATGCCTCAAATACACAGCTTATTATTTAAAGATGGTGCTATCTGCTCCCTGTGGCATACTACTGTTACCACTCCATCACGTGTATTTGATATAGAGGTATACGCTATCCTGCACATTAATCTACGCCACTATAAAGTAGAATAAACATGTGTATGTATGCATGTATATATATATATATATATATATATATTATATAATATATATATATATATATATATTATATATATATATATATATATATATATATATATATATATATATATATATATATATATATATATATATATATATATATATATATATATATATATATATATATATATA